CCAGCAGTGGGCCTCCGGGCTGGAGGCCATGCATGCGCAGGGGATCGCCCACCGGGACCTGAAGCCGGGCAACGTTTTTGTCAGCCAGCGCCTGGACGGGGGCTGGCGCGCAGCCCTCGGCGATTTGGGCACCTCGCGCAACCTGAACACCGACCGGTCGTCCACCCTCGTAAGCCAGGCGCCGGAGCTGAACGCCATGACGGCGCGGTACGCCGCCCCGGAGGTGCTGGCCGCCTTCCAGCGGAAGCGCCCGCTCGATCGCGAGCTCCTCCTCCCGGGGGACATCTACAGCGCGGCCGTCATGCTGTGGGAGTGCCTCACGCGCACGGTCCCCTGGGAGGGGTCCTTCTTCGATGAGATCGCCGCGCATGTGCTGGCCGGCGAGCGGCCGGCCATCTCCTTTGACGGGCCGCTGGCGGACCTGCTGCCGCTGGCGTGGGACGCCAACCCGCACGCCCGGCCACCGGCCGCCGCCCTCCGGCAGAAGGTCGCCATGACCGCCCTGATGGGTGCTAACCAGCCCTAGAGCCGCCCAGCCGGGGACACCCAATACACACAGATCGCCCGGGAGCGTGCTTCGGTGTACAAGGGTTGGCACCTCGGCCGGTCCATCTCCGCCCGCGGACAATTCGCCCTTCCGGCGCGGCTGCCGCGGGCCGGCGCATCCGTGTCTGTGTGTATAAGTGGTGGTGGCTCGCGGGGCTGGCGCTTGGACAGGTATTTGGAAAGGTAGCGAGGGCGGCCGCGGCCCGGATCCGGCCGACCTCGCCTATTTCTGCGCCCTTCCCGGCGGGGTTGTGCCCGGAGCATGTCCCGCAAAGTGCCCCCCCCCCCCCCCCCCGCGCTCCCCCTGCGCCTCCCCCCGTTCCGTGCCCTTTTCCACCTCCTCCACACGCCGCCCGGCCCTCGTTGCCGCGTGGCTGTTACCGTGTGCCGCCCCTGCAGCCGGGCAGGATGGCCCCCCCCCGTGCACCGCACGGGCGCCGAGGCTGGCCCGGCCGGCAGTCGGTCCTCTTGGCGGCCCTGGTCCTGCTCCAGCTGCTGGCGCTCTGCCAGCCGGAGTCGGGCACCGCCGCGGCGGCGGCCGGCTTGCGGGACCCGGCCCCCCTGTACCGGGCGCCGGTGCCCCTGTTCCCCGGGATCCGGAGCCCGGACGATGCCATCGGCTTTTTCGGCAGGCAAGACACCTCGGGCTTGAGCTACCTGGCCGTCTTCCAGGCCGACGGCCATGTGGCCATCCACCAGCAGGCCGGCATCCAGTACGCCATCAACAGCCAGGCTCGGAGCGGGGCCTTTTTCTCGGCCACCCCGACCCTCGAGATGGGCAAGGCCATCACCCGGCCCGGGCCGTATCGGCTGGTGCTGGCCGCGTCGGACAGCGGGCCGGCATTCTTGGCCTTTGCCGCCACCTGGGCGGGCCTTTTCAAGGATGGCGAGTGGCTCACCTTCGATATGACGGCCGGCCCGGTCGACGTGCTGGACTACCTGGCCCTCGCGCCGCTCCAGGTTCTGGTGGTAGTGCGTGCCACTGACTCCAACGCGCTGTACCTCCTCCAGCTGTCGGTCCAGCTGATGGAGCGGAAGCTAGCGGTGCCCGGCTCGGTGACCGGCCCCATCACCGCCCGGATCAGCCGCAGGCCGGCCATCCAGGTGGCCCTCCAAGACGGGGTGTACTTCTTCGAGCCCGGCGGCGCGGGCCCCCTGCAGCCTGTGGGCCATCTTCCCCTGCCGGGCCATGTGTCGGACTTGGCCGTTGTCAAGATGCCCAACACGAACTACGACGGCCTGGTGCTGGTCCTGCAGCAGCAGCAGCAGCAGCAGCAGACCATCCACATATGCCCGGAGATCGACTTGGCCTGGAACTGCGCGGGGGGCCACCAGCTTGCCCCTCCCGGCGGGCCGATGGCCGACCTCCGGCTAAGGCCGCCCCCGGGTGGGGAGCTGTTCGCGCACCCCCCGACGGACTGGCTGCTCGTCGGCGATGCCGCAACCGGTGCCATGTACCGGGTGTTCCTGGCCGCCAACGAGCCCGACCCCTGGCAAGCGGTCCTGCTGCCGCCCGGCCTCACCGCGCCCGAGGCCCTGCAGGTCATGTACCTTGCCATGGCCGGCGGGTCGGCCGCCCCGCAGGAGGCGCTGACCGACCGGCAGACGGCCTACTTCCACTACCAGGCCTTCTGCCAGGGCGACTCCACGGTTTCCTGCGACAGCCCGGACTTCTGGCACCTTGCCTCCGATGACGGGTACACATGCTCCCCCGGGCGTGCCCTCTCGCCGCTGAACATGCCCGCGTCCCTGTGCGGGGCCTGCGCCGCTGGCTTCTTCATGCCGAGCCATGGTGCGTCTGCCCACCTCCTGTCCCCGCCCCCGCCCCCGGCCCCGCGCCCCCCGCGTCGCCACCGGGTCGCCCGCCCTGGGCTCCCTCCCGGGGGTCCGGGGCTGCCCTTGCCCCGGTCTTCTGGCCCATGGGCCCCCTTGCATGCGCCACACGCTCGACTAACCGGACCTCCCGCCGGTGGGGCTCCCACAGCGACCGGCTCCTGCAGCCCCTGCTCGTCGGCCATGTGCGAGGTGTGCTCCCTGGCCGGGGATTGCCTCGTTTGCCAGGCGCCCCGGCTGCTGCAGATGGTCCCGGCCTCCGGGAAGGATGCCTGCGTGGTGGCGTGCAGCCCGGGCTTCGTGCCGGACGCCGGGGGGACTCGCTGTGTGCCGCCGGCGGCCATGGCGCAGGCCAGCCCGTCGGCGCCCCAGCCACTGGCCCACGCCCAAGCTCCGGCGCTGGTGGTCTTCCGGTCGTACGTCCACGTGGAAAATGGCCAATGCCGCCTGTACGCGGCCGACACGCCGGTCTCCCAGCTGGCGGGCAACCTCCTGGCCCTGAGTGGGAGTGACTCACCGCCGGAGTGGATCCGGCCAAATCCGGCCCCCCCCGGCGGGGTCCTCACCACTGCCCTGCCCTGTCCAGCGGCCGGGACCCTGTCCGAGGCCTTCTTCGCGGCGGTAGAGCTGCCGCCGGCTCTGGATGCAAATGGCAGGATGGTTTCCCGGGTGGTGGCCTGTCAGGAGAATGGGTCTCTCTATGTCAGGCAGATGGCCTGCGCCGCCGCGGATAGCAGCAACACCCTCCCCTGCACCTTGGTGGAGTCCCTGCCCTCGAATCACCACTCGGGCTTCGGTCAGTGTGCCTCCCTGCGGCAGGTGTCGGCCCGCCGGGTGTCCATGCTGACAGCCGCCGGCCAGCTGCGGCTCCTGACCATCGACCCCCAAACCGGCACCAGCCACCTGCAAAGCCTGGCTCCCGTCTCCTGGCATCCGGTCCTGCTGCCGGGCATGCGGGCCACCCAGTCCACCGACGAGTGGCTGCTGATGCACCTGGCCGACAGCCGGTCGGTCGTCCTGCAGCCGCTGGACCTGCTGCTGGGCAGCGACCCGCGGACCCAGGTTGCCCGGCGCCTGCTGGCGCTCCGGGCCCCGGACCCCATGCAGCCCGACCCGCGGCACCTGGAGCCGGTGCTTCTGCCGGGCATCCGGCCCGGCGCCCCGACCGGGGAGCTTTTCCTGTCCGGGGCCCAGCCCGGCCCCGGGGGCCTGGCCAGGTGGGTGGTCGGGCATCTGCCCTTCGGCGGGCTCCCCCATGGCCGGAGTGCCGACCTGCCGCTGGCAATCCATGTGCTGGGCCACCTGGACCCGGGCTCGGCCAATGTGCTGCCCGCCTTCCGGACCTTCGCCCTGCCGGTCCCCTGGTCGGCAGACGTGCCCGGGCTGCTGGTTCTCCTGACGCCGGAGCTTGTGGGCGTGGCGCTGGTCCACTGTGGCCGGCCTCCGGGGCGCACCTGCTGGCCGCAGCCGGCTCGCTTCATCGGCCTGGACCCGCCGCTGGCCAGCCTGGACCGTGTGTCGGTGGGGGCCCTGCCGCTGGCGGCCTCCCCGGGGGCGGCTCCCCCCGGCGGCGTGCTCATCCTGGTCCCCGGCATGCAGGGCTCCCAGCCGGGGCCCGGCTGGACCATCCGCCTGGCGCCGGTGGCCTGCCCCCCGGGGACCTATGGGCCGGAGTGCCGGCAATGCGACCAGGCGTGCATCACCTGCCTCGGCCCCGGGGCCGACATGTGCACCGAGTGCCGGTACTGGCTCGCGGGCCAGGAGGCCCACTGCCTGGACCGGTGCGACGGCCCGGTGGCGTCGGCCCCCGGGCCCGGCGAGTGTGCCTGCCAGCAGCCCTGCACCCAGTGCCAGGTGGCTCCCGAGGGGCTTGGCTATCGGCCGGTGTGCGCGATGTGTGCCCCCGGCTGGGCCCTCCCCCAGCCGGCCACCCCCTCGGCCGGCGGCTGCGGCCAGTGTCACGCCTCGTGCGCCACCTGCTCCCTCCCTGCGGACCCGCTCCAGTGTGCCGCCTGCCTTCCGGGGGCCTTCCTGCTCGAGGGGGTCTGCCTGGGGGCCTGCCCGGAGGGCTTCTTCCCGGATGCGTCGGCCACCTGCCGGGCTTGCCCGGCCGGCTGCTTGCATTGCACTCTCCCGGACAGCTGCAGCACATGTGCCCCGAAGCACTTTTGGGGGGGGCCCGCCGTCGGGTGTGCCCGGTGCGATGCGTCCTGCGCCACGTGCGACAATGCCTCCAGCTGTGGCTCCTGCATGGCGGGCCTGGTGTTCCTGGACCCCCAGGCGCCCTCGCTGTGCGGCAGCACCTGCGCCCCGGGCGAGTATGTCGGCGCTGGCCGGTGTGCCGCGTGCGATGTGAGCTGTGCCCTGTGCGACCAGGCGGCCGACCGGTGCCAGGTGTGTGCGGCCGGCTTCCGCTGGTCCGGCCCCGCGCCGGCGGCCGGCGCCACTGGCACATGCGTCCCCTGTGAGCTGGGGTGCGCCTCCTGCAGGGCGAGCGGCTGCCTGGTGTGCGGGGCCGGCCTCGTGCTGGACCCCAACGGGCAGTGTGTCGCCGACTGCCCGGCCGGGATGTTCAGCAACGGCGAGTCGTGCCAGCCGTGCGACGTCAGCTGTCGGACGTGTGCCGGCGACGGGGCCGACCAGTGCACCGGCTGCGACGCGGGGCTGGAGCTTGTCGAGGCGGCCCCCGGCGTGGGGACCTGCGTGTCCGGCTGCCTGGACAGCGAGTATCGTGCGGGTGTTGATTGCCTGCCTTGTGACGGTGCTTGTGCCACGTGCAACGGCCCTTCGGACAAGGACTGCTGGCGGTGCGCCGGGGCCGTGCTGCAGGGCGACGACTGCGTGCAGGCCTGCGCGGCCGGGCATGTGGCCGTGGCCGACCGGTGCCTGGCCTGCCACCCCTCGTGCTCCGAGTGCGCCGGGGTCCGGAGCACCGAGTGCACCGGCTGCCCGGGGGATCTGTATCCTCTGCCGGCCGAGCAGTGGCCCTCGCGCTGCGCCGGGGCCTGCCCGGTGGGGTACCACACCTCGGCCAGCGGCTGCCGCCAGTGCACGGAGCACTGCTCCAGCTGCCCGCACAACGCAACCACCTGCGCCCTGTGCGAGCGCGGGTGGCTGCTGGCCGGCCCGGCCTGCGTGAGCTCCTGCCCGGCGGGCTCCCTGGCCACGGGCGGGGTGTGCACCACCTGCCACGAGTCCTGCGGGACCTGCTACGGCCCGGAGCCGGAGCACTGCCTCACCTGCGATGGGAACTCCCCACTTCTGGTGGACGGCCGCTGCCTGGCCACCTGCCCGGCCGGCACCTTCCACAGCGGCGAAACATGTCTGCCATGCAGTCCGACCTGCGGCGCCTGCTCCGGGCCCGGGGCCGCCGAGTGCACGGCCTGCCCGGCGGACCGGGTCATGCATGGCAACGCATGCCTGACCAGCTGCCCAGCCGGGTATTTTGCCGAGGCCGACCGGACATGTCGCGCCTGCCATGGGTCCTGCCTGGCCTGCGCCGGGGCGGCCGCCGACCAGTGCACCGACTGCCCGGAGACGTGGCTTTTGCAGCAGGGCGAGTGTGTGAAAAGCTGCCTCGGCGCGGCGTTTGCATGCAGCGCATCGCGAGCATGCGAGGCTTGTCCAAGCAGGTGCGCCCGATGCATCGCCACCGCGGCTGGCGCCTCTGCATGCACTCCCTCCTGCCAGCTGTGCGAGGGCGGCTTCGTCCTGTCCCCGTCGACCGGGGCATGTGCTGCCAGCTGCCCGGCCGGCGAGTACAGCACGGGCTCCGGCACCTGCGCCCCATGCGGCCCCTCCTGCCGGGCATGCTTCGGCGCGGCCGAGCACTGCACCTCGTGCATGGACCCGGATGCCTGGCTGCATGCGGGCGATGGGGTATGCCTGAGCGCCTGTCCGGCCGGCGGGCTGGCCGCGGTCGAGTTCCCGGCCGCGGCGCCCCCCCTGCCAGGGCGGGTGTGCCTCGCTTGTCCGGCCGGCTGCGAGCGGTGCGCCGCCGGGCCAGGCACCCCGGCGTGTGCCTTCGGCCCGGACGGGGAGCTGGTCTGCCCGGAGGCCGACCGCTGCGACCGGTGCATCTCCTCGCACCTGCTGAGCGGTGGCTCGTGTGTGGCCAGCTGCCCGGGCGGGACGTTCGTGGATCGCGACGCGCCGGCGCCGGCCTGCGCGCCCTGCCACGCCAACTGCAAGACGTGCACCGGGCCCGGGGAGGAGGAGTGCACTAGCAGCACGTCTGCCGGTCGCCGCCTCGGTACGTGCGAGCACCACTTTTGATTTGCGCCCCCTTGCCGTGTGCTGACCACCGCCTCACTGAACACAGCCCTCGGCCTGGGCATCGGCCTGGGGCTGCTGCTCCTGCTCCTGCTCCTGCTGCTGGTGCTGTTCCTGCTGCTGCGGCTGCGCCGCCAGCGCGGCGCCCCGACCAAGGTGCGCTCTCCCCCCGGCCTGTCGCGGAACTCAGCCAACCACCGACCCCACTGACCCCACTGACCCCACCGACCCCACTGACCCCACTGGCCACCGGCCACCGACCCCGCTGGCCACGTAATGCGCAGACCGACGATGACGAGGACGCCACCGTGATGAACACCATGCTGGAGCTGTCGCTCCCCGGCAGCATCTTGGTGAGCATCGCCAGCGACTTCGCCCCGCTGAACGAGGAGCAGCTGGGCGCCGGGACCCAGGCGTCGGTCTACGCGGCGCGCGCCGTCGGGGCCGGCATCTCCGACCGGCTGGGCTGCCCGGGCACCGTGGCCATCAAGCAGCTGAAGGCCGAGCGCATGAACCCCACCCAGGTGACCCTCTTCCAGAACGAGGTGGCCCTGATGTGGCTGCTGCGCGACGCGCCGAACATCGTCCGGCTGTACGGCTACAGCGACCAGCCGCCGGCCCTGGTGATGGAGCGCTTTGACACGGACCTGGCCACGCTGCTGCACTCGGACGTTCCCCTGGACCAGGGCGCCATCCTGGACATCTGCCAGCAGTGGGCCTCCGGGCTGGAGGCCATGCACGCGCAGGGCATCGCCCACCGGGACCTGAAGCCGGGCAACGTGTTTGCCAGCCAGCGCCCGGACGGCGGCTGGCGCGCGGCCCTCGGCGACCTGGGCACCAGCCGGAACCTGAACGCCGACCGGTCGTCCACCCTGGTGAGCCAGGCGCCGGAGCTGAACGCCATGACGGCGCGGTACGCGGCGCCCGAGGCGCTGGCCGCCTTCCACCGGAAGCGCCCGCTGGACCCGGAACTCCTGCTCCCGGGGGACATCTACAGCGCGGCCGTCATGCTGTGGGAGTGCCTCACGCGCACGGTCCCCTGGCAGGGGAGGACCTTCGAGCAGATCAGCTCCGGCGTGCTGGCCGGGGTCCGTCCCCCGGCGGACGGCCTCCACGGGCCGCTGGCGGACCTGCTCCACATGGCCTGGGACTCGAATGGCCACACCCGGCCCTTGGCCGCCTCCCTTCGCCAGCAGGTGGCCACACAGGTGGCCTTTCTGAACTGATGGGGCTTGTGTGTGTGTGAGCGCGCGCGCGCACCTCCCCCTGACTCTTTGGCGCGGGCAGCAGAATGCTCTCGGAGGGGGGGATACAGGCATGCCTGAGCGCGCGCGCGTGCGCGCCTAATACACCCACGCATACACACACACACACGCGCGCCGACGCCCGCTCGCACATGCACAGATCACCGGAGCAACACCATGTGGACGCGGCAGCCCCCAACAACCCGTGGCCTGGACTGAGACCGGGGACACCCGACCTGCCTGTGTGTGTGTATCGTCCGTTACGATCGCCGGCGTCGGTCACGGACCTGCCCCGTTCGTTGGCACTACTGTGCTCGAAACCCTGGTGGGAAACCGCACGGTGCGTGACCCCCGCTGCTGTGTTTGCATGAACATGCACATACCTGTTGGCCCATCTGTGTTGGTCTGCCTGGGGCGCGTTTGGGCACGGGGCGGGACAAAAAGCACCAAAATAGAGGCCTAAATATGATATGGGATACACATGGTGTGGAAGGTGCCCGGCGGGGTGGGCCTTCATCTACCGCGCGCGCGCGCGCGTGCCCCTTCCCGCAGGGCCGATCATTGGCCTACCAATGTGCAAGCCATTGTCGGCGATCGGAGAGGCCCGGTTATGATGCTGGGTGCGGGCACCGCCGCCAGGCGAATTCCTCCTGACCGACGGGGCCCGCGGGGCCGTGTACGAGACCGAGGCACTAGTCAAATGCGAGGATAAAAAAACAGCAACAACAACAACAACAAACACAGCAGGAACATGGGCGCGCCCCGACACGCAGCAGACCGGGTTGTCTCCCGGGAGAGGGCGATCAAACGATTGTTCGCTTGGTGCACATTGTGATTGGTCCGCCTCCCGTTCCCCCCCCCCCTCCCCCCCCCTCCCTCTGTGCCCCCCTGTCTCGGCCTTGACCCCGCCCTCACCGCGGTCCGGGCGCGCAGCGGAAGATATGCCCCTGTGTTGGCTGGCCCCAGGCCATGCCCGGCATCCGGAAACATACCTCTTGTGCTGGCGCTCCACCATGGCGTGTCCGATCGTCCCGCACACAAGCCCCCCCCCCCCCCC